CTCCCCAACCCCCTCCCCCCAAAAGAAAAAAGCGAGGCCATCTGACGTTTTAACCAACCATCTTAAAAACACTAAATACAAACACAGACACAGACAAAGCAGAATTCAACCTTACAAATTATTACAGAAAATAGAAATCAATTAATAAGCAGAAAACAGTGAAAAGTAAATCACCTTAGCCCTGCTTCTGCACTCATTCGGCTCAGTTCCTTGCCAATTTCATCACTGAAATCTGAGCTCCCATCAGCTCGAACTCCCTACACAACAACAAAATAAGATGTCAACAAGGTAAAGGGTGAGTCACTTCTGCAACCATATCCAGGCATGATACGCACCTAGAAAAATGTTTAGGATGTACCAAATCATTAGTTCAACCTTAACTTGAGCAGAAAACATACAGTTCTACGCATGAATAGAACATTTAGTATAACTAATTAAAGCTCATGGAAAATGTTATGGAACAAAATAGCTTATACCGGACAATCCCCATAAAATTCTCGTCTTAACTGAACTCTGAAAATCTTAATCATCAATTTCTTTGCATCAGTAAGTCGTCGATCAAGATGAGTCCTTCCCCTCGTGATCAAGTCTGCAGCGCAGATCCCCATCAACTGTTCATACAAATAGATTAAGGGGCAAAAAAGAAAGGAACCTTAGTTCAGACAGTCAAAATGACAGAAGAGGAGAGAACCAAAATGATATAGTGACTGGAGTTAACCCCCTTTCCTCAAATGAAAATAACATAAGTTTTCACTTTATCTCCTATTCCAATTAGTGTAATCAATATACTTGAATACTGGGCTATCCTATTCTTTACTGTCGTGATAACATTTTACTGATCACTACTACTTACAAATAATTAAAAAATGAAGAGAAAATATCGACAATTGCATCCGCTTAAATTGAAAATAAAGATTCAATTTGTACATGTTGATACATGCATGAGTTAGTGATGCAATTTAATTTTGAGTGTCATTCTCTTAGCCCAATATTAAATTCTTTAACATCAGGTAAACTCCACCGGCGAAGATCTCCATCTTCAATATATTGGAGCATTTTGTCCACCTGCTCACAGTCTTGAAGACTTAGCAGTCTCATTCTCTCGTCCTAATGGACATAACATAATTACTAAAGTAAGATGTGTGTCAGACTCAAAAGACTTGGTCATTAAGAAAAATTTACTTAAATGTTGTGCAGAAAGGTGGAATCAATTGAAACCAAGAAAACAACAGAAAATAAACAAGAAAAGAAAAGGTTAAGATATATTGTTCTTCACACTCACTTACACTATCTTCTCTTTTCTCTAAAAGTTTAGCAGAGAAGTATTCATATGCGGCAGTTGAGCTACTCCTCTCAATATTCACATATAATGTAATGTTTGTATCAAAATCTTCCCTTACAGAAATTCGAAGAAACACGTATTTTTTATGATCGAAGACAATAACCCTACTTGAAGAAATACTCAATTAGCTGTCGAAAGCTACATAATATGAAGCAAAATATACTATAATGATTTATTTGTGAAATGTCAAAATGCACCAAGTTGGACGATGTTCGCCCGGATAGTTCCAACGCAAAGCCTTCTGGGCCTATAAGATCAAGAAAGTAGCATGTCTTCATTCCTTCAATGCATAAGTCGTCAACCCTAAAGAAGCAAGAAGGTCATTAACCAAATCACATGCATGGCTATTGAGAGGGCGAAAAAAAGAAACAAAAGTTTTCGATTGTCAATTGAAAATAAAAAAAAAGACAAAACACAAGAATCCTTAAACCCTAAACACAAGAATCCACCAAAATTTAAACAATATTTCATCTTTTGACTGGTTTCAACCAACAAAAAGTCCTTATACATCAAAAGGTACAACTGAAGTATCACGTTTTAGCTACTGTAATCACATACCTCCTCTCCACAAAAATGATGAGTCCAGCAGGATATTGAGAGGGTCTTTCAATTCTATGCTGACGTTCACGTTCTAGAACCTGGGGTTCCTAGCGCATGTGGTTTGAGATTCGGCTAAGGTCAAACCTGAGAGTCAAGTCAAAGCCCATTTTCTAGTCAGTTTCTTCAGAATCCTCCTAAAAACTAAAATCTCGAAGAATGTGAATAATCTCCAAACTCCATTTTTTTTGTTTATTTTTCATTTTATGATTATGATGATCGAGAATGGAAAAAATGAGCAATAAGATCATAAACATTCCTCATACAAATGCAAACAATGAACACAAACCACAATAACTGAAAAGCAACCATATAAGAAAACTCATTTCTAAACATCCTCCAGCAACTGAGAAATGATTTCAGTTATCATAAATTTATTCCTCATTTGCAGAAAACAAATTATTCAAAGAGAAATAGAACTAGAGAAACTTACACTATTTTTTTTAATGTGTGAACTACAGAGTGTCGATGATACCTATACGCCGTTCCTACAGAGGAAAATAATCAAAGAACAATAGAGCATAAGTCTTCAAAAGATTCTTAAGGCATCAAGATTTGGAAAATTAAAACTCACACTGAGTAGAAGATGAAATCTTTAGAGATGTATGACTGAACATTTCAACTGAAAATTCAGAGGGAATTTTCTTCTTGCTTGAATATGGTATCTAAATTCCTCGTCCTAGGCAGCCCCCTCAGGGGGGAGGTCGAGCTGCTGAGACTGTTCATCATCGCCTGCTCATTGGTGTTGAATCCCGCCCATTCGCACCCCTATTCGCCGACCCGCTTCCTCACCGCGAAGTTCTGTGGCACCGCCACCGCCTGACCCTCACGGACCTCGCCGTCGAACACCGCCTGACCCTGGTGGTTCACGATCCGTTCGATCCGCCTGTGTCGCCTCTGCCCCTTTCGTCTTTAAGGCTCAGAAGAACGGAGAGAAATTGTGCAGAATTTGGTCGGGCATGAGGAGGATAGAGAGATGATGGGAGAGATTGATTTTTTTTGTCAAAAGATATGGAAGAGATTTTGGAAGATTTTGTGAGATTTTTGGTACAGAACGTACACACACTATCAAGAAAATCGGGAAGATATAAATGGCCAATTTATCCTAAAAAAGCAGCCCAAAATAAGATAAACAAGGGTCATTTAAGTAAAAAACAATAAAATGAATTTAAGGCACAAGTGTAAAAAAGGGCTAACTGAAGGGGTATTTTCGTCCAAAAGAGAGGGCATCAAGTGTAAAAAGAGGACCAATGTAGGGACATTTCTGTCTTAAAAAAATGACACGTGTCACCTCTAAAGCCCTCAAACATTTTCTTATATGTAA